TTTGCTCTCTCTCCGGTTTTGCATACACTCAATTTTGGTTTGTAGATAGAAGAAACCTTTTTCTTTATGATACCTCTCTAATAAGGGGTAGCTTTTGTGATGAAAGCAGATGATTAAAAACTTCGGTCATTTTGATTCAGGCTGCTAAAAATCTGAAACTTGCAGTATAATTCTCAGCAAGTAGTACAGTAAGTCTTTCGATAACTCCTCACAGAGGTGCTCATTTGATACAGGCTTTGCATTATTAGAAAGGGTGAATTTTCAGCAGCCTAACTCGAAATGACCGAAGTTTGAATTCATTTTCCTAGTTCTTTCTCAAAAGCTACCCTTTACTAGAGAGCAGTAGAGGCACTACCACAAAGAGAAGGGCTATCTAGCAAAATTAAATCTGTGCAAATCTGCAGAGAAAGCTAGAAGAGCGTGTTTCAAATGATGCGACAGAACTTTTGCATTAACTTAATACATAACCAAATATTCACTATCGGAAGTTTTCTGCAATCTCATATATAGTGTGGTTAAGGCTGCGTTCATACTGATCCGGAAGTTCGGGCACAGTTCCAGCACAGCGCTAACTTCGAGCGCTTGCTGGAACTGTTCCCGAACTTTGGGATCAGTATGAACGCAGCATAAGTTTAGCACGATTGGTTCAAAGGCGACCGGATGAATAGAAAAACAAGAAAAGTTTTGATCTAACGGTTATATATTAGATTGTTTCGCTTTATCCAATTTGCAGTTTTTTTCACTTAAAACGTAATAATTCTTTTCAAAATTAACATTTTTTACAAATCAAATGTTGGATTGAACGAGATTATGCTTACTATATGTAAGTATACCATGTCAAGTCAAGCGAAGGAGACAATTTAGAGAAGTCTATGAGGTTTTCTTCATGACTGTCTATTTTGACAAAGTTTCCCACATAAGGATAGCAGACATATTTGGCTGCCATCATCAAATAGCCCATACTTCAAAGATTATTTAATGGCAGGAAAGTCAAGTTGTCTTCGCTGCATATATGTTTTTATGAGCAAACTAAAAGATATTCTGAGTTTTCCTCGGCGCGCGCAATTATGCCGACGCTCCGATATTTGATTTTTTCTCGCTGTCGCGAATGAAAAACTAATTTGGCTGCTTGCTTTCGCTTTACGCTATCATCTCTATATATATAAAGCAGAAAATCTTTATGTTCGTGTGTCTGTGCACATTTCTCATAGTCATGAAGGATGAGCGGTGGAGCTCATTTTGATCTGCTGGTCATCAAGATATGGTAAAGGCTGTAGGAAGCGAAACGAGTCGAAATCAAATGATGGTTTAATTTTGCCACATGAGAGATCAAGCACGATGGACCGGCTTTAGAACGGGGTGGAACCCGCGATGTCAGCTCGTATGCAGTAGAACATACAAAGACTGCTGTCGCTTTGAATGAGGGAGCTCTCCAATCTTTGGGAAAAAATTCGAAAAGTAAGACTCTCTATGGGTGGAAAAGTGTATATATATATATATCTGGCCAAGGTCCAGACATATATACCGAAAAAGATTTCGTTTTCCATTTCTGAAGTTTATTACTGTCTGTAACTACTGAGGTTTTTTTTCAGTTCCCAGTTATGTATGTGTGCTGCCATAATGCACATGCATAGATTCTTCTGCTTTCATTCCTTTAAGTTCTTCGATTATAGGGTGAGTATCCGTTTTTTTGTTGATCGATTATTCTTCTCTGTATATCATATTTTAGGATGTCGCTGCAGCTTGCTTATTCCTGGCTGGAAAAAGTGAGGAATGCCCAAGGAAATTGGAACTCATCGTCCGTGTTTGGTGGGTGCGTAGCAAGTGTTACCCAGGAAGCCGCCTGGTGCCGCGGCCAGCCGCCAGAGCTGGCACCAGCGGTGCGGCTGAGCTACCGTAAGCACGCTCTCGTCGTCCGCAATCTCTCGCAGAGAGATTTTCGCAGCAGCCTCGCACCTCTCGCGCTGAGGTGCGAGAATTCCCTCAGAGGTCGAGCTACTGCCACATATTATATATCGATCGACACAGCGGAAAATTTATAGTTTATTAGTAATATACATTACAAAAAAATATACAAAAACAAAAAAAATTGAATATCAAATAAATTGATGGAATGATTACAAAATTAAATTGAAAGCATAATATCGTGGAGTAAGTATAAAAAAATATAAAATAGATTGTTGAATGGTTTTTTGGCACAATTCGTTTTGACCTTTGGGGCAGAAGACTTCTAATACCAACTGATATTAGAAAAAGTGTGCCACATATGGAGGTATAAAAGATGAAATGATGCTGAGCAGCTAAGTTTCGAGATGTCAAACTCTCAGCTTTACAGCCTTCAGTCTGAGCATCTTGCTCAAATTACCTATGTAGAAAATCCGTCGCTTTTGGAGGTAATTTTTGTTCTTTTTGTTACCGAATCTTTTTGAAAATTTATCAATCCCGGAATCCGCTACCTGCTACAAGCCAGCTCTACTCTTCAGCCGCTGAAAGTCGTGAATTTCGTGGAGAACTCGAAAAAAGTGAGCAGGGGGTTCACCCTGTAATTGTATGCATTTTTTAGAAAAAAAATCAGCATCCTCGAAGCGTGAAGCCATTACGAAAAAAGGATGTGTTGCGCCGAAATAAAATTATTGATGCGATGCGCAGCTTTAGAGAAGAACATAAGACAGGAAATTACATACCAACAGCTTCTATAAATAGTTTTTGTATTAAAATGTCGAAATTTGTAACAGAGAAAACCATTTAAAATTGTAAAATTGATTGTGATTTTCATTTGTGATTGTATTTATTTAACTTTTTTTTGTTTTTGTATATTTTTTGTAATGCATATTACTAATGAACTACAAATTTTCAGCTGTGTTGATCGATATATAATATGTGGCAGTAGCTCGACCTCTGAGGGAATTCTCGCACCTCAGCGCGATGAGGTGCGAGGCTGCTGCGAAAATCTCTCTGCGAGAGATTGCGGACGACGAGAGCGCGCTTACGGTAGTTCAGCCGCGACGCTGGTGCCAGCTATGGCGGCTGACTGCGGCACCAGGCGGCTGCCTGGGTAACACTTGCACGCCTCCGTGTTTGGTGGGCAAAAAAATTCGAGCGGCACCCGAATATACCATCGCATAATGTAAGTTTCGTTGATTTTGGTATAGCGTATGGTAAGGAGAAAATCCTTCCTTTTTGTCCTTCGTTTCCCCGTTAAAATGCCGTTGTTCTGCTTTCCACTCATTAGTGGATTATAGCATTACATCGAAGCGGCACAACTGATTGTCCAGTTGGAGAACGTCATCCTCCAAACCATCGGTGAGTCTATCTTTGGCATTTGCGAGCACTAATTCTCATAGATGTATGCAACACTGTTTGCATTCGATGTTCAGTCGTATGTCAGAATGTAGATGAAAAATTCTGACGATTCGTATTTAGCCTTTGATCTCAAGGTCGAAATGCCACACCCATTCGTTTTGGCGGCGATGCACGAGATTGCCCATAGTAATGGTTTTCTCCCATCGTTCCGTGATAGCGAATCAGCTGTTTAATTTTTCTCTTTCAGATAACAAGAAGCTTACCGAGTGTGCGTACTTCTTTGCCACTGATGTGTGAGTTTACAATTTAAGTCTCTTGACTTAGCTAATGACTTCTTTTTTCTTACTTCCTATTCGAGTTTATGAAAATTGTTTACATCTGGCAGTATCTTTGGTTAATCTTTCGAGCAAACGCTGTTTTTCCTTGTTTTTTTTGGATAGAAAACAATGACGTTCACTTCCTCAGCATATTGTTGAACTTTCAAAAATGTCATTTGGCTTCTTCTTTGGGTTATAGATTACTTGTCGTCAGTCTTTATCAGTAAAGGTTGTTATCTAGCTAGGATGTCATTATTTTCGCTTTATTCCCTGCAAAAGAGAAAAATTATGAAAGTCAGAGGCTGTCAAATGTTTGACTTTGTCAGATGTGCTCTTTGTATGTGACTGAATGGTGTTTAATTTCAGATTGTGCGTGACAAACTGGGCAATTCGATACAATGCGAGTGCGATAGCATGTGTTTGTGTACACCTCGTGTGCGTATACGCTGGATACGAGGTGCTGGTCAACCCTTGTTCCCATTCTGCCTAGAGCGCGCTTTGTAATGCGAACTGTGGGTGGTCGTGGTGGATACGGTCGTGCGCGGGAGGGTTCTAGTGCCATCGCGTGTCCGAAAAAGTTCACGTTGATTTGGCGCGGCCCGCTCACGATCCCACCTACCCCCTCAGACGCTGGCAAGTTTCTCGGGGCATTTGGGCAAACGTACATGAGGCGAAGCAGAGGTACGTCTATTGTGAGCCCCTAATATATTTTCGTTCTTTTGATTTAGTTGCGTTTCCGACAAAGTGCTTCACGGTTCCAATCATCATGTGATACCTTTTGACTCTTTTGCTGAATTTAGTATGATGTAGGAACTGCGAAGCAAAATAAAACTGTGTGGCTTTTGCGCTAAAACATCAGATGAAATATCAGCATTGGTTTATGCACTGTTGCCTATAGCGCAGTCTAGAAAATCATTTACCTTTTGTGTAAACCACTCAAGGATAATCAAAGCGGTTAATAAAAATTGTTTCGCGATTGTAAAGTTCGGGGGGCTCATATCGTTTTTGTATGCTTGTAGGGATTTTTGGAACCAGGCTTCAGCAGGTTTTCCCGTTTTGTGTGTTTATGCAGTGATTGTAAGCACGGTAGCGAATAGGTTCTTAGCTGAGTTGGATAATTTTTCTGAGCGTTGCGTAATTTTTCTGAGCTTACCGACTATGTCCCAAACTAAGTTGCGTGATTTTTCTGCCGCTGTGCGCATTAGTGCGTTACGTGAACAATGCAGCGGCATATCTAATCAGCTAGTTAGTGAAAACCTTAGCCGAAGCCTGAGTTATGCCCTTTTGCCCTATCTTTTTTGTATGCTGATGCTGTCAGGCGTATCATATCTTTTGTCTGCATACTTGCTTCTTTGTCGTGGGATCATAGAGATTTTTTAGATTCCTGCACCTGCTCCTGGGGAAAAAGCATGGTACGAGAAACTCGATCCGCACATGACGCAGGAGCTTCTAAATGGTATATTACACCAACTTTTCTCACAATCACCACATCTGAAATCTTATTTTTGCAGAGATGTCTCAAGAGTTTGCCAGCATATACAAGTCATGTAGGGAATGGTTGGCACTTACACGATTTGTAGCAAAGGGAATAGTGAAGCCGTCAACGCCGAGTCCGAATCCTGCAAGGAGTCCTGCTGAAGAAAAGGAAATTCTTCCCCCGCCTCCTCCACCTCCAACTTTCCATAAAAAAGTGGATCTTTCAGAGTACAAGGTATGTAGTTTGTTTTGTGGTCTGTCCATCTGTTGACATTATCCACACTAAGATATCTTGTCTGTAAAGTCAGTCATCCGCCTAACATCTGAAACTTAGTACATGTCAAAACCATGTGTGAAATGCATGTGGGATTTGATAATGTGGCTCATTCGGTCTTTATCCACCACTCGCGATTGTGTATTCTTTGCATAGTCGATTTACCGTAGGGGCTTTGTGGGTTTCTAACTTTTGCCTTTTGGTTTTGTAATGTTAATTTCAGAACTTATTTTTCAGGAGCGAACGAAATCCATGGGGCCTAGCAGTGAGCGAGCTTCTGCGGAACGTTCTGCACCACGACGAAGTTTTATACCTGATACTTCGCAAGCTCGTCCAGACTTATCAATGCCAAACCTTGCATTGCCTGGTCAAGAGCCGATTGCCCCATCGCCTTTGGGTTGGTTTTTTTTAGAATTTCGTTCACTGGTATTTTCATGTTGAACTGCTCATTGAAAGGGACGAATCTGATTTTTTTAAAATCAAAGGTCTTGCACTGGAAGATGCGGTCTGCGTCATTCTATCAGAAGAATATTCACTTTCCGTTTTTAATCGGGTTTTTTTCAGCTACTCAGCCACATGAAAATGGTCACAAATCACGGGATGAACACAGCCGTCGTGAGGAAGAGAGGAGAAGAGAGAAGGAGCGACGTCGGAGGGAAGAACGCGAAAGGCATGGCCATGTTGAGCGGCCAGAAGAGAGAGAAAGACGGAAACGGGAACATGAGCGGATGTCCGGTGGTGCTCCTCACCCACCAGTGTGAGTTTTTTCTTTTCTGAGTGTTTATGATTCATGTCCTCTTTTCTTTCCAATAATTTAGTCCATTGCAGTGAGAAGAGACCAAGACATGAAATGCCACCGTCATCAGCACCGTCTTCTATGGGCTCTACGAATGTTGGAAATGGATCGAAACCGCCTAGACCAATGACTCAAGTACAACCATCTGTGCACCACTCTTCATCACATCCTCATGGTTTGAATAGTGCAAATGGTTCACATTCCAGAAGAGAAAACGATGTTTTGAAGGTATGAAGTTACGGAGAATATCTTTGTGATTTTTGCTTTCAAGCATAAGCCTTAGTAATATATTCAGGGTAATGTCAGGTCTCTTTGATCTCGAAAGTAATGGGTACATAGGTTCGGATCTTGCATCGAAGCAGCAAATTTCACAAATTAGACGACGTCTTAGCTCGTACATCAGAACACACACATGTGCCATCTCTTTGTTCATGCATCATAACACACATGTGCTATCAGTGGTTCACAGTCGGCTTTATCAAAACTCAGCGCGCATAGACAACACGAAGTTCATCTATTACGTACCCAGCTTTTACCTCATTTATTGTTGTTATCATCTCCAAGTCAATTGATAGCGGAGTTTCTTGCTCTGCTTGCATGTAGAGTTGAGTTTTGGTGAAGCCGAAACTCAACGCTTGCCATATGTCAAATATACCTCGTGATAGTCTTGCATTTCGCAAGAGGAAACTCGTTCTTATCAACGGGAGTCATTAAAATGAAGTTTTACTTTTGTGAATAAACGTCACCTACCCGTCTTGTTGTTTCGGTATGGCGCTCTGCCTTCGGTTGTCGGCACAAACTGTCTTCATCTGTGTTTTGTGAGCCGTATTTTTATCGCTGCATTCTTCCTGGTATGTAAGGTACAGTATCAGTGAACGACTCTCTGAGGTCGAGATTGCTGATAAGTTTCTTTGGAGTAGATGGCTTTAATCTTGTCGAGGTTGTCTTCAAGGTCGTTCTCTTTTGTTTTCGCATCCAGCCTCTTTAGTGGGTTCTGCTTTTGGAGTTCATACACGTAGGTCTTCTTTGAGGCGTCTTTATGCATCTGCACTTGGATCCGATCAATCCTGTCTCTTCATCAAGTTTGCTATGGAGCCTCTTTAGTGGATTTGGATATGGATAGTGTGCAGAAGTGAAGAAGATAATTTATCCCGGACTAATTCGTTCTCTTTTGTCGGCTTTGATATACTATCTTCTTCACTTCTTTGCACTTGTCGTAGCAGTGCATTCTCTTCCACCGCATATATTTGATCTCTTGTAAGGATTATTCTTGGAATTCTGTGTCGTCGTAGGTGTGTAATGTTTGGAAGTCGCAGTACCACTGTTACCGTGACTTTGCGCCTTTGTTTTTCATTGTCCAACATTCGAAACAAAATACTGGTCAAGAGAAAACGCTGAAGCGCGGACTTGGATTTTGATGGCGTTCATCAGCTGCACAGTGCTGGGGAAGGCATGCCTTTGTCAAAGTTCAAGTATCGGTTTTTTGTGTTTGGTCTGTAAGCTTTAGAGTTTTTGGAGGCGGTGGAGGATTTTTTCAATGGACATATAATTGTGGTCTCGGCGCGATATCCTGCGCACTGTTACACTTTGGAGTACTTTGAAAATGCGAGATTGGTGTCATTGACGTTATGGGTCGCACCGAATCGAATACCGAACGCAGTCGAATTCTGCTCGGTTGGATCCGATTTTGGACTAGTATGAGTTTATTCTAAGGGAAGAGGGAAAGGTCTGTGTCGTTTCAAAACCAACAAACAGAGTTGGACCAAAAGAGCGCCGGTTATGGCCGTGAGCTTGGGCAGGTGCCAGTCTTATCCGGTTCATTCGGCTCAATTCATTCGCTACCGGTCCGTCCAGTTAACCAGAATAGTTGAGACGGATGTCTGGCACCGACCTTAGCTTTGGCAGAGTTAACTTAACCTCTCGAACCGGTGCTCTTGGCATCTAAGCTCGTGTTGCAAGTAGATGTCATAGTCGGTAGTTTAGGTTCCGTCGGAGTCGTCGTATTCGAAAAACAAAAGAGAGGGGTTTCCGAAAAAAAAAAAACTTGGCGTCGTGTCGTAATTGCCCAGAATCCAGGTCCATTCGGATTGAACCCGATTCGCTCGGGATGGCACCCGGATTATGGGGGAATGTGGCTCCACCCTGAGGTTCATAAAGAGACTATTTTGTTGCTTCTATACTTTGGCCTTTTACCAGTTTTTAAAAGCTTGTGGAAATGTCACAAGACTTGCAGTTCCGATACTCGTCGTTGAGAGTAGTATAATGGACTTTCTAATCAAATTATTGTTTTCAGAATTCGGCGCAGTATGTTCGTGCAATGGAACCTCCAAGGGCACTGTCACCACCGCCGTTGCCGCCATCTGTGTTACCGCCTCCCCCTCCACCACCTGCTGCAATTTCCGAACTGGAGGAAGGTGAGGTGGAATGATCTCAGTCAGCAGTTATCATTCTGACCAGCAGATGAACTATATCTGCGGGCTAAAACCCATCTGTTTGTATGTACAGTTAGAGTCGAAGAGCGTGATATTAGTAGCTTAGTGAGAAGTGGTTGGTTAAATAATTTATTGTCGTTTTCGTATACTTCACGGGTACTGCATTGCTTAGGTAGTCTTGTCATCGTACTCGACCCTTTAAAGGTTTGTTGTTACATGAATATGATGCTATGTAGTTCGGGTCTATATTCGTTCTTTTGTTCAATTGGATTGTTCCTTTGTCGTCCCTATACGCGTATTTTCTCTATTGCTCTTTTTTTGTTCATTGCGTAGTATATGTAAGAAAAAAATCTCAAAATGTTGAAAAATATTGGAGATCTTTGTGTATTGGGTAATCCAGATACGATGTTCATGTTTGTACTATCAGCAGAATTTATATCGCTGTTCCTGTTTTTCTCATATTATTTATTATACAAAAAAATTACTCAATGTGGTCCGTTCTTTCGTTGAACAATGCCGATCTTCTCACGTAAGGCAAGTGTAAGTAAAGTGTCGATGAATTGTTATATTGAGTTGTTGTTGATGTGAGCTTGGTAAGAAAAGAATATCTACGTAATAATGAATGTCTTTGGAGTTCTGCGTTCTTCTGACACTACATCATTTATTATAACTTTATAAGGAATACGAAAAGGACAGGCAAAGGCAGGTAAGCTGTTATACTTCCCGAGTGGTTCAGAAACATCATTCTTCTATTAGAATAGACAGAAATCTGGGAAGCTTCACGAGCAAAGATAGCTGGATGGTTGCATGATCCACCGCGGCAGCAGCAAAAATAACAAGGTCCGGAGGGAGTATTTGCCTAAAAAGGAGTGTATTCTATGATCAATGCATCTAGCGTATAGGATAGTGAATTCGACAACTGATGTAGTGTCCATTCGGTGATGACAACATTTGCGTGGGCAAAACACACCGTGCTTGTAGATGCACGCCACTTGCTTGCGATTTGCGCATAAAAATTGGCCGTGGAGCGCGCAAATTTCGCGGCAACGCCCGCAGCATTAATTGTCATACTAAACTTTACCATGCTACATCCTTGCTGGTTTATGGATCCAGCTCCATCACCACATGTTGCGCTACCAAAGGGGAGCGTAAACTCGTTAGCGCAGCCGAAATTAGCGATATCAGAGTGTGGATAGTAGCTGGAAAATTCCTCTCTTAGCAATGACCCATAGAATTTTTTTATGTTACCTCACTGCACACCAATCTCTGTTCGCCGTGTCCGCACAACGACGACTCACTATGTTTCCACCATATCGAGATGATAGACTTGCTGAGCCTATAAAAGGTCGCAATAGTTATTTTTAAGACTTAACAACGTTGCAGATATGGAAGTATATCAGCATCACTGTATTGCTATATCAAGCAAATGATGTGTATAGGGCATCCGAAAAATCGTGATGGCGCGACTGCGTGCGACACGCACGCGCCTTCTGGAAAGCACAATTTCTTGTTTTTCATCCCCTCCAATGATTTTTCTGTTTACATATGATAATTTCTATAAACTGGAAGTGATTGAGCGAGCGTTGAGTGGTGATACCTTTTTGTGTGAGTGTTTTATGCTCCTGTGTGCGCAACGACCGCAGTCAAATCCGTCGTCACGATTTTATAAATGATCTACACATGATTTATTACTTATTGATACGTCTTCAGTAGCCGCAGATTATTGAAGCTCGCTTTTTTATAAAAATGATTTTACTGAATACAGGAAGAAACCATTACGATTAGCAAACTATTCTGGTAGCACATCTTGCGTTCGAGGAGCACACAGCTAGACATTTTGTTCGAACCTTTGCTTTGAACAATTAAAATTCATTTTGGGATGTGGTGCTGTAGCTCGAGTTTACTCTAGCGTCAGAATAAGGCGTCACGAAATTCTTTACGACGATCTGTTACGAAGTAATATTAACGAGAAATGTTTTTGCATCTTTCTCGACGCCTGAGGGCTAGAAACATGGCGATTTGCATTACTAAATGTCCCCAGGGTCCACTTTTGATACATCGAGCCTGAATTCTGCTATTGCATTGCGCTTGAAATTTTTCATAGGGAACAGAAAGGCTACAGATTGTTAATGTTCGTGCAAGTTTTGTGACCAATTCCAGATTTATTGGAAGTTTTTGTGAAGTCAAAATTATAGGGAAAATAACACAAAAGGGCTAAATCTTTTTGGTATTTTTATCGAAATCCAAAGTCTGATGGTATCTATGTCAGCACAATTTTCACGCATTCAGAAAGTGTAAGCTGGAAAACTCGAATTGGTATTGCAAAAAAAAATTACATTGCAACGATCTGGTGACTTGATCTGACAAAAATAACTACATCTACAGTTTGAACTTCCCGCTTCCATGTTTGGTATCTTATATATAAAGCTGAATGTCTGTTTGTCTGTATGTCTGTCTGTATGTCTGTCTGTCTGTACGTATGTTCCGAATAGAAAATTCCATTTCTGAACCGATCCGGACCAAACTTGGCACACATACACTTCGGGCCCCGGCGGGTGTCACAGTCCACTTTTCGTTATCGATTGATGTCGATTTTATCGATTTTTTGCAAAATTTGAGCTACGGGGCTGGGAGTTGGCACAGGGGGGTAATCGAGCATGCTGATTCCGAATACAATATTAGTTTTTAAAATCGTGCATTACTTTTATCGATTTTATCGATTTTTTTGCAAAATTTGAGCTAGGGGGCTGGAATTTGGCAGAGGGGTGTAATCGAGCATGCTGATCACCCCCGTGCAAAAAAATCGATAAAATCGATAAAAGTAATGCACGGTTTTGAAAACTAATATTGTATTCGTAATCAGCATGCTCGATTACCTCCCTGTGCCAAATCCCAGCCTCCTAGCTCAAATTTTGCAAAAAATCGATAAAATCGACATCAATCGATAACGAAAAGTGGACTGTGACACCCGCCGGGGCCCGAAGTGTATGTGTGCCAAGTTTGGTCCGGATTGGTTGAGAAATGGAATCTTCTATTCGGAACATACGGCGGAGCCGGGTAAGCCAGCTAGTTTGTTTATAAAAGAAAGCCAACAAAATGTCATGAAGAATTGATAATTCATTTTTTTATAATAAAATTGATTTTGAGTTCATGTGTAAGATAAGAAGGAGATTTAAGATTGCGATGAAACTCTCATTTCAGCTCGTTACATCCATATTGTTGTTAAAATTCGTAAACAAAATGGAGTACTGGTGAGGTATATGTGAAGAACAGATTAGGATAATAGGCATATGAATTATTCTTCTCTAGTTTGGCTTTTCTATACATCTTCGTCAACTTAGCTGATTTCACAAATGCGGCGAATTTGTGAGGTGTTCATGCATTGTCTATCTTTTCTGAAAAATTAGTAAGGGTAATTGCCTTCATTGCCTTTTTACGATTCTTGAGGTTTGAAAATGGCCACTCAAGGTACTTTGTCTTCCTGATGACGTGTTTTTTAGAATGATTTGTTGGTTGACTTAACGATGAGAGCACATGATATAGAACTTTCCTTCCGTCAAGTAGCTCATACGTAATGATTGAGGGGGTGACTTGAGTTTTTGGAATGTTGACATTTCCATCTGAATCAGCTCGTGGGTGCAGGAACAGTAATTCTATTGTGCATAATCAACATACAATACCGCTCACAATTTTTGAAAAAAAGACGCGAATGTATGGACATGTATGGACATGTACGGACATGTCCATACATGTATGGACATGTCCGTACATGTGTCCATACATGTATGGACATGTCCATACATCAGCGTCGCGTGGCCATATCTCGCTTCAGAGTGGACGAATTCTGAATCCAAGGCCACCGTTCGATTCAGCTCGGCGCGGAGAATCTTCTGATATATTGGATGGGGGTACGATGTTTTCGATATTCCGTTTCCAGTTTTTTCAATTTGTTCTGCGGAGGTCCTTTCGCGAATATATGAAGCAACGCCTACCCAACATAGAAGACTTTACTAAGTACTATTCGATAACACTGTTCTTGCAAATTATTGTGCGCTAAAAAATAGGCTCAGACTTCTTTCCAAAGGAGGTGAAAGCGTTGGTGAATTTTGGAAAAATCACGCGTTTCTAAATTCTACTCGCCATAACTTCCTTCGGAATAAGTATATTTTGAATCTGAAAACTGCGCCTTGCTCAGCTCATCAAGTCGAATCTTCCTATGTACAGCAAGTCCTTGGTATTTCGATTTCAGTATTCTTGAATCTTTCTGAGGACGTCTTTTCGCGAAGATGTAATGCAGCGAACATTGTCCCGAGTACATTTCAGCAAAGATCTTTCGATAGCACTTTTTCTGTGGATTATGATGTGCTAAATAGTAGTCGCAGATTTCTTTTCAAAGGAAATAGAAGGGCTGGTGAATAGTGGAAAAATCTTGTCGTCCCAAATTCTACTCGCCATATCAGCAGGATACGAAGCTATCTTGCTAAGCAGATGTGAGTTTCGAAATCAGCAGGTCGCATAACCTCTACGAGCAAGTTTTCCGATATGTTCGGGTCATTTCATTTTTTCTCGCTTTACGCTCCGGAACCGCGCCGATGGATTTTGGTCAAAAAGTTGATGCTCTTAAATTGTAAGGAAACTTCGCTTATAGAGGTTTTCTAACACACTCTTTACGAAAATCGTGGTCTTTGAGGATTACAGGGTTTTTTTGGAGAGATACGGTAAGGTGACTGTAACTTCATCACGAAAGTACGTAACTTTGGCCGCACTTCTCGCGTATCTGTCAGAAACCTTGCCTGCTTGCTTTTCTCAGTCAAAGTTATTAGGAAGTGTGCTATCGAATGGTGTATTACTCAGGCTCCAGTCTGTGAAATTCGCCGAGTTACGAGCCTACAAATACACGTCCTCATGAATTTTGCCCAAAATGTAAAAATCGCATATCTCGTCGAAATTCCTCCGTGAGCGCTTGTATTAGGTCATTCGGAAAGTTTTTTCGTTTTTGCACCTCCAAATTCAAACGAGCACAATTTTTCCCTGATTCAGCCTTTTTCCATCAAATAAACTGCATTGTGTTCAGCAAATTTCTGGTTACACGCTTATAGTGCTCTTGTGCTTTTTTCTTGCGGAATGATCTCAGAGGAGTCACTAAAGCCTGAAAAGGCGTTTTTGATTAGTCAATCTCTATTAGGTCCTATTATTTTTTAATAGGCACCGAGGAATTGGAAAATTCGGTGACTGGTAAAGGAAGGTCTAAAGAGTTTGAAAAATAAACAGGAACCTTGGTGCGCAGTCAACCCCTTTTGTGAGAGCCACTTTTCTTACATGTGGTTT